CAGTTAGAGTTCTAGTCTATCATGTCTTTCATAGGTATACTTTTAGAAAATCTGATTCCTTTGGCTATGAGTTAGCAAGTTTAGTTTGCTTAATGATATTGCTAGATAGTAAAATATATTCTGTTGTAAGATTCCTTTGAAATCTTGAGAAAAAAGTAGATGGTAATGAGGATTCGACTGTTTTTTCGATATTGATACTCGAACGGCGATAAATGCGATTGCAGTTCCCAAGGTACAATCTTCGTTATTCGTTAATTGTTGTTGTGTGTAGACAGCAGCGACAAAGTATGAACATATATATTTGGTTTTCTGAATAATCTTTAGTTAACAAGTGAGTCCTATTTGAGATTATTTCCGGCAACACCAAAGATGTATCTCAAAATTAATTGATTGACAAGATAAGAATTTACGTCACGATCCATAAAAAATAGACCTTCGTATTGTAGAGCGGTTGATAACAACCATGATTACATTCATAAGCATGGCTATTACTCTTGATTCGCTATGTTCTTATAAATCAGCATCAGAGTAGCAGTAAAACGATTATACACATACATTAAACATAATCATCAATTATTTCTTCAAGACGGAATGAAGCAAAGAAAAACTAGTTTTAAACAGTCAGTCATGAGTCAGGCAAAGCGAAACGGTGAGCGTGATTTGTCCTTAGATCTTGGAAAACATTTGAATAACTTCATAAATCCTTCAATACTCTTGAAGTCGGTTAGCACTGAACATTGAATCTAAGTTTAGACTTAATGATGAGAGATTTTTTCAATTGATATCTTTGAATCTTGCAAAATTTCAATGAAAAGTATTTTAAGACGAAAAATTGATATTTTAGAATATAATGACATTTAAAAAATGTTCAATTGGAGGAAAACTTTATGGTTACGTTATGGATCAAAACGGAAATGAAATTCAAGATATAAATGTAATATTGAAAAAATTCTTATTCTTTTTTAATTCTTATTATTTCTTTAAGAAACTCGAAGCGATTCAACTTGATGAACAAGATCAAGAATTTATTTGGTATGATAAAACTCTATTAGATGCTATTAGACATAATGATGAAGATGTTAATCAGTTTTTTACATCATTATCATTATGTCATACAGTTATGGCTGAAGAAAAAAATGGAAAAATAATTTATCAAGCTCAATCACCTGATGAAAATGCACTTGTTTCAGCATCACGGTCTTTTGGTTATGCTTTTCAAGTTAGTATTTCTTATCTTTATCAATATATTTTTAATAAAATTTGTTTATTGGTTATTTAGAATCGTACTCAAAATAGTATCACAATCCGTATTAAAGATAAAGAAGAAACATATCGTCTTTTGAATATTCTTGATTTTAATAATGAACGACAAAGAATGTCAGTGAGTATTTGTCAATTCAATTCAATTTTATTTAATTTGTTTTATATATTTTTGTCAAATTATTTACAGGTTATTGTTGAAAAAGATAATCAAATATTCCTTTATTGTAAAGGTAGTGATACAAAAATTAAAGAAAGATTAGCAAATGCTCAAACAAATATAGTCAATCAGACAGATGAACATCTTTATGTTAGTCATATTTTTTTTAAAATAATTCTTTATCTCATTGAGAAAAAATTCTGCTTTTTTTTCTTATTTGTTTTTCGTTAGAAATTTGCAAATGATAGTTTACGAACACTATGTTTAGCATGGAAACAAATAGACAGATCAGAATATGATCCATGGGCAGCAAAATTAAGTGTTGTTAGGTGAGTTTTCATCTCATCAAAGATTTGAAAAACATATAGACATATTTAATGGATATTTTCTTAATCAAATTCTTATTTAACCTTACAACAAAACTCTGACTGCTTTGAAGGAAAACATCGAAAGAAAAAAAAAATGCCTTGATCGGCAATTCCAATTCATAATGCAATATCTTTCCAATAGGAATATCAGACGAACTTGAAAATTAGAATTCGATAATTGTATTCGAATATGGACACTACTGACTACTGAATTCGAACATCGGAATCTTGTTGCTAAGTTCTTCCTATTTCTCAAAATTTTTCCATCACAAATAGTCATACATCATTTACTCGGCTATCAAATTGAAAAATGTTTGTAGACAACTCATTTAAGTAGTCTTAGTTATTCATGTTTGTTGCCGTAGTAGCTCAACTGTGTTAAACTAATGAATAAAGTTTCCCAATTGATAAAACGCTTTCGAGTCGCGACTACGTGCATTATGTAGAACTAAATCAACTATGAATACCCTGAAAACAGCTCAGGCTCTTAGTTTATTACTGCGGAGATACGGTACTTTTTTAAATAAATACTATGGTCGCCCTCAGGAACATTCGGAAAATTGATTTTTGAATTTCAACTTGAAACTTTGTATATAGAGAAGACTTAACGAGTATAGTTTCTTGTGTGTATTTCAGATCTTGTTTTTATTCCTATATTAAGATACAGCTATGATAAAAGTATGTCTTTTACACCGCTCATATATAACGACAGATTTGATGTTCTTATTCTAGGATAGAAGTACATCAAAAAATCTGAAGCTTTCACAATAAACTATTTTCGTTAAGGTTTCTCTATGTGCAAAGTTTCAAATCGAAATCCGAAAATCAGTTATTCTGATGTTTCTGAGGTGAACCACGACATTCATTCAACATCCATACCGTAAATTTCTAGTATCTACGCAGCGCTAAGCTAAGGACTCAAACTTGTTCCAGGATATTCAACACTCATGTGAGCTTGTATGATGCACATAGGCTAGACTCAAAAGCAATTAATTAGTTGAAGACTTCTCTGGTGAGATCTATAATTATTCTTTGAGAATATCTCAATAGAACTTCAATAATAAACATAACACTGCGATCCTTCAACATGATTTTTTATTATTCGATATTTCAATTAAATCACAATGATACTCAATTATAGAGTTAACTTTGTCAACAGATTATTACAAATACTTAGATTTAACAAGATAAGTTATTCTAACAAAAAAAAATCAAATAAAAGTTCAAACGATTGGCATGAATAATCTGCAAATATTTTTCCATTTTCAACCGATTGAATATCATTTCTTTGAATCAATTTAAATATTGAAATTTGATAGATTATTACAACAATGCCTTTCATATAAAATCATTTGACACAAATACATCCGATCCAACCATTAAAAATTACATAAAATTCGATATTCTCTTGTAAATACACATAAACATTTTATTATTATTATTGTTATTATTATTAGATAAATAAATAAGAAATTTAATAATATCCTATAAAAAAAAAATTTATATCTCATTTCGAGGATTCAAGTAAAACTACTTCGTATAAAGATTAAATTAAATATGAATAAAAATAAATTTTTTGAAAGTGTAGTACTACAATGGAACAACGTGATGAAAAAGTAGTAGAAATGTATGAACAGATTGAAACAAATTTAAAACTTCTTGGTGCTACAGCAGTTGAAGATAAACTTCAAGATGGAGTTCCTGAATGTATTCAAAGATTAGCTCAAGCTGGAATTAAAATGTGGCTATTAACTGGAGATAAAATTGGTAGATAAATTTCGCTTTCCTTTATTTTGTTTATTTCATTTGTTTCGGCTTCTGGTTTAGAAACAGCGTATAATATCGGTCTTTCAAGTCGTTTATTAACAAACGAAATGGAAATTAAAATGATTGAAGAAAATAGTGAAGAATTAGTTGCTGCTAAATTAGAAGAAATACGAAATTCAATGATCAACAAAATAGAACAATTATTTTATGTTGATATTGATGATCGAAATAAACGTCTCGATTGGAAAACATGGGGAATCGATGTTCTCAAATTAGATCAATTTAGAAAACCTTCTCATTATGAAAATAATAGTACTGCAAGTATGAAATCTATTCAATTTAGTATTGAAAATTCTCCTATTTATAATAATGAACAAGATCGAGAACCATTTCAAGGTTTCGCAATTTTAATCACTGGTCAAGCTTTAATATATGCTCTTTCTGAGAATTTAAAAATGAAATTTTTGGAATTAGGAACAATGTGTAAAGCAGTTGTTTGTTGTCGAGTTACTCCGATACAAAAAGCACAAGTTGTAGAATTGGTCATGCAACATGAAAAGAAAACAACATTGGCTATTGGTGATGGAGCTAATGATATTTCTATGATACAGAGTAACAATTTATTTACTTATCTATATTATTTTATTTCTTATGTATTTTTAGAAGCTCACATAGGTATAGGAATTTCTGGTCAAGAAGGTCAACAAGCTGCATTAGCAAGTGACTTTAGTTTTGGACAATTCCGTTATCTAGAACGGCTTTTATTAATTCATGGTCGTTTATCATACGTTCGTGTTTCGAAATTTTTGCGTTATTTCTTTTACAAAAATTTTGCATATACATTTTGTCAATTTTGGTTTGCTTTTTTTTGTGGATATTCTGGCCAAGTAAGTTTTTTTCAATGTTTTTGTAGCATGTTCATCGAAATATATAAATTAATTCTAAGAACAGAATGAACATGTTTCGAAAACATCTACAGATAAATTTATTTTTAGCAATTTTTCTTCTATTTGTAATTAAATAGACGATTTACGATCCAATATTTGCTGCGTTATACAATACTTTGTTTTCAACATTTCCTATTATGGTAATAAGTGCCTTTGATCGAGTAAGTTGCCATTATTAATTATTAATCAAATAAATAGAGTTCATTGTTGATTAATATTAATTTTAATTTTCTAATTGGAATGGATATTAATTGTTATTATTTATTGTTTAGGATCTAAATGATTATTATTCATTGAAGAAACCATATCTGTAAGTTAGTTAAGATTTGATTTCATTAATATTTGTTTTTTGTTTGGTTTTTTTGATATTTACTTGGCCAAACAAATAAATTATTCAACAAAAAACTCTTATGTGAATGTGTAATACATGGAATAATAACATCATTAGTCATATTTTTTGTGTCATATTTATCTTTATCAAATGGTACATATGTTCGAATGACACAAATTGATCTTCAATCATTTGGATTTATTATTGGAACAATAATAACCGTGGTTGTTAATTTAGAAAATGCACTTGAAATTTGGTATTGGACTAAATTCTATCATGGAACATTATGGATGACAATTATTATTTATTTTCTTTTTTACATGGTAGCTTATTCAACAACTTTTTCAAAAATCTTTCGAGTCAATTTTGATTATGTTGGTGTTGCACAATCTGTTTTATTTACTGGACATTTTTGGCTTGTACTTTTACTTATTTGTGCCATACTTTTATTACCTGTTTATTGTCGAGAGTAAGTTTGATTTATTTAATTAAATTAGTGTGTGTGTTTTTTTTTTATTTAAATAATAAAAAGGTTTTATCGAATACGATTTCAACCAAATGAAACAGATAAAGCACGAATTAATCAAAAGTATCGTCATGAAGAAAAGGCAGAATTTATAACTGAATTTCGTCAAAAAGTGCAATTAAAAAAACAGTTAGCTCGATCAAGTTATGCATTTGCACAAGAAGAAGGTTGGGGACCATTGATAACATCAGGTAGAATGCAAGTTAGACCTAATCCATATTCACGAACTTCACATGATCTTGGTGTTAGTATTCTTTTCTATTCAATATAAATCATTTCAATTTTATTTATTCTAATGATTCTTTTTTTTTGTTTCATAGATGTTACACGCAAGTCCATCACACTCAGACAATCTTCGAAATCTTGCAGAAACATTATAAAAATGTTGATAATAAAGAAAAGTAAAAGAATAAAATATTTAAAGATAAAAAGATTTATATTTTGAAATATTCTTGTTTCTTGTCGATGTTCGTACTTGAATAAAACTATTTCAGATTGATTATTCATTGCAACTTTACAGATTTGAGATATGTGAGGTCCAGTTTTTTTCTCATTGTAGTCACTTTTGTCATCTGGTCCTGGCAATACTTTCTTTTTTTTTTTGTTTGGTCCAATTTTTTTTTGTCTGATATTCTAGTCAATAAGATATAGATGTGCCAAGAGATGATCAATTTTTTCCAATTTATTTTATATAGTTTGCTGCTTAATTTATTTTTGTCTCGATTAGTTTTTTTTCTTTTATTTCTTGTATTTATTTATTTTTAGAAAATTTAACTGTCAACATATTTGTGAACATCAAATGATCCGTTAGTCAAACAATTTCAAAAAGTCTCTTGTTATTAATCAAAAGTGCAACAAGAGAAAAAAAGATTTTTTTTTGTATTGATTAATAAAATTTCTAAAAATAAAAATCTTTAAATAATGATCAAACAATTTCTGATCGACAAGTTTCACATCGAGTTTTTGAATAAACTTTCAATGATTGCTCAATTTTCCCGTTATTGTGCTGCTCTTACATAAGAATATGATTCGACCATAATTAATCGTTTACTCATTATATTAACTAAATGAGATGACTATTCTGTACTGCTCACTAATATCCATTAGTTACCAAAACATATCAGCAGTCATCCAAAATAAACATACAGTTAAAATCGCATTTTTGCTCTCTCCGTTCCCTCTCCTCTGTTCTCCTAAAATGTCCATTTTTGAGGCCGTGGATGTGTGCGTCTTTTTCTACACCTATCTGGTGACACGCCCTGTGTTTATGTGTTTTTGCGTCTGTTCATGCTTCCTTGGGTGTAAGTGTGGATACACTTCCATTCCAGTATTGAAAACATGTTCTATTCATATTTATTTAGATGATGTAGAAAAGGAAATACGTTAAAAAATACGAAATCTTTACTTAATATAGAAAAGTATACAAAACAAGCTGTGTTTTTCAAAGTATTAAATATCTTCCGTAATTTTATACAAAGTAGACTGTTTACTTGTTTGAACATTATATTTGCACATATCTATTGACGTACAAAATAACTGATTGAATATCCTCTTGTTAATGCTTGTGTTTGATTTCCTCATTCTTGTTGTCTTTTAATTCCTTACTTGAGCTATATATGGATTTGACTTAATCTTTATTGAATAATTGGATGCAGAGGATAGACAATGGATTCGATGTTTTCTTTCTCTTTTGAATTGAATATGTATCTCTTATTCTTCCAACAAAAACAAGTTGCATCTATAACGAAGTAATTATTACAAGAAGGGAAAATGTAAATGGATTTATTTTTTTTTTTAAATTTGTGGGATTAAGATATAAAATCTTTTATTTCGAACGATCACTTTTTCAAGTTACTTTCGATTGAATAAAAATCACTACATTCCTTTGTTTCCAACATAACTCATTATTTACTTAGGGATGCACCAATCCCAGGCCTGACTGGTGAACTTGGTCCCAGTCACGACTGGATATTCAGTCATTTGATCTTTAGTCCATTAGTCGAGTAGTACTTTCTGCTTTTTTAGTATATTCTCATACAGTGATTCTTAGACTGTTGAAGTACTGATGCAAGGTATAACATTGAATCCATTGGCTAATAATATATTTCTATGTAGCAATTGTTATAATTTAGAATACGATAAATAAATTTCATGTCTTCATAAAATTTTTGCGAGCTATCTATTCAGGCATAGTCTTCGTTTATTATCATCTGTTGAATTGTTTTCTTTGCTATAGATAATCCTTCTAGATAATGGATTTCTATAACAGCTTGTTTTAGAAGAATGTTTCCTGTAAGATAGATACTGAAATGAAAAATAGAAAAAACGGACTCATTTTAATTAATATCAAAACGGATACGATTGACTCATGCATTACATGAAAGGTTGTAATCGATCAAAGTAGTACTAAATCAGAAATTTTAGTCATGAATGATTCGATTTCGTCTTTTTATTTTGCTAATAGTTCCTAGAAGAATGTTTAGAATATCTTGTTTACATTGGAGGTAAATACACTTCGAATCAAAGAAAACTTGTCAGGACAGCTCCATTTGCGGCTCAAATGTGGAACTCACATATCTTCTTGGACTTCATCACATCAATACAAAACATAGAGCGTAAAAATTCTATAGGGCGAGCCTTTTATCCCCTGATTCTCTATTGTCAGGAAAGACCCTTTTTTATTTCTATATCTTAAGAAGAATTCTTTTTCTGTGAAACAAGCATCTTGTTTTGTATCTCTATTATTGGTAACTTATTCGTGACTTTTCATTGTCCTAATTTTTTAAGTTTAAAATTTTCATTATTATAAGAACTGAATACAATCACACATAATGCCGTTGTAAATAATTATCATATAATCTAAGTTAAAAAGTCTGTAATGGAAAGTGTCTATAATGATGGATATCTGGTTGTAATGGGCTGTAATGGAATCGAAGAGGCACTGCAAAAACCTCGCCTTAAAACTTACGCTCCCCATTTTCTTCGAAGAATATGTAAGTTTCACAAAAAAGAAACTTAAAAGCTGAGTTTCAAAAATAATGATTAGCTATTAAAAACATCAGTTACCACTTTCTTCACTTTACTGTGTTATAAAATATTCCCTTCGTATGATGTAAATGACTAATACTGCTCAAAAATATGAATAATATTTTACGTTATAACGATTGGCACATAGAAATATAAGAATAGTCAATCAATTCAATATTATTGCTTATATCAGTATTTTATCAACCTGAGAATCAATGCATCGCAATATATTAGACAAGAGGGAAATACTGTTCGATTAGCGGAATAAATATCAAATGGCTATGTACCCAGTCATTACTGGATATCCAGTCCGACTGGGACCCAGTTACTGGCATTAGTGCACACCTACACGTCGAGGAATAAGAGAGAAGTGAGAAGTGAGGAAAGAGTGAGTAGGCATTTATTAATATTCACGAGGTCACAGCATCTAGTCGCATAGTGACCGAATGGCTCTTACCTCACTGAACCGATAGAAGGTAAAGATCATGTAGCAAGGCCGAAGCGCGTCATGGTTAGCGTAACTACTCCGCATTGTTGCTCCACTCTTTGCTATCCTTATCCTGAAGATGCTCTGAGTAGTGATCCTTGAGGAGAATGGTCAAAATATGATAGAATGAAGTTTCAGACGGTTATGAATTGTTAGCGCCTGATGTTCGATACTATAACCGCAATATGAAAAAAATACCGAGGCAATTTAGCCTCAATTGATGTGAATCGCGAAATTCGTTGAAAGATGAAAATTATTGAAAATAATAGGCCTTATCATCATTTCAACAGTGCACTTTCTAGTTTCTTTTCAACCACTGATTTTTGTTCCATAGATTGATTCAGCATTGTTCAACATGGATGTCCTTCTATATAGATAATAGCTCCGAGAAATAATCTCGTTTTCAAATAACGACCGAAGTAATTGAAGCCTGTAACAATTTTTAAAAATGTTCATTATTTGAAGTTTTTCAAAAAAAAAGGTTCGCCATCTTTGAGTCATGAAATTACTGGCTCTAGTAGCCTACAATGTCATCAGTGCGAATTCAAAATGAAACTGGAAACAATCAAAACTAACTAAAATATTGTAATAATTCACAAGTGTCCATGAATAATTAATGCTTGAATAATTTTAAGAAGCGCAAAAGAATGCAGAAAAGTTCAATCTTATGATGATTAACGTTAATGTATAAACGTATCGAACGTCCGAATAAATCCATCACAGCGAGAAGTTAGGCGAATATGTGCGAAAATACTTGCTTAAATAATAGAACCATCAAAATGCATATATAGATACTTGATTTGCCTTTTCCTAAAATAAAATATTTCAAATTCTTATACAGTTGTAAGAAGAGTCATCTATATAATATAGTCTAAAAAGTACAGCAAGTAGAGAAAGACAAAATGTTTTTCGCTAACACAGTCCAATAGCTCGAACACAAAAAGCAAATTTCACAAAAAAGTTGCTCATTGATGAGTTCTAACTTAACAAAAGTTTTTCTAATTGGAATTCAAAACAGAAAAGTAAAGAACAATTTCTAGGCTGAAAACGTACTTGGCAATCTGCCGTTTCGGATTTTTCGAAACATTAAAAATGGCTAACGTTCGATTGAGCTCACTTTTTTTATCAGACAATCCTATATATGTATCTTATCAGTGATCGGAACATTCACTTGTGAAATTCATTCCAGACTATTTTGGACGGTCTTACATAATCTCCAGGTTTTAACAGAAAATCTGGTTTTATGAACTAAAATCAAACTTTACACAAAAAACCATGATAGTTGGAATCAGGTCGTCAAACCGTATCGAACTATATATTACATGAACAATTTTCGTGGAAGATCATTGAATAAAAAAAAGTGTTTTAACGACAATAAAGCCGCTTTTCCTTTGTTTGTCGATATCCTCAATTGAAATTCTTTCTTCTACTATTTTATAATCTATATAAAATGCATATATTGCTATTTCCGTTGAACTGTGATAAAAGAAAGCTAGATAAAACTTCAAAGTAGACAAGCAAATAGGTAAAAAAGATCATCGTAGTTATAATCTTGTTATTATCATTCTTATCAAAAAAGATTATAGTTTTGCTGCTCGCTTTGTGTCGGTTTATTGTTGACTATTCATCGGGTGGAATCGAATACAATGTATGTAACAAGTGAATTTGAAGAAACATCTACAAAATTTCTTAGGTTCTTCGAAAAACGATGGAAAAAAGAGATTTAGAATTTTTAAACGTGTTATCCACAAGAGCTCATGAAATGGCGGATAGAACAATCGCAACGTACCACAGACAGAGAAGTCATACCATCATTCTCTTTTAACCACATATGAATTTGAAATAATGAAATAAGATGTGTTTAGATATGCTTGGACATTCATTCAAGTGTGTCGAAAAACCAAAATACTCCAGAACAAAACCATGTAACCTACAGATTTTGAAAAAAGATCTATAGAGACCCCATTGAAGACGTAGTGAACTATAATGAATAAAATATCTTCGAATGACACGCTTTAGTAATCTAATACAAAGCACTTCGAACATGATCCAACTAAATTCACTGAAACACTTTGTCATATCACTAGCTTGACTCAAAAGAAAGCCTGTCCATGACCGTTTAGGACTTGGTTTCCATAGGAAAAAATTTGTTCTTAGGATGCCTACTCGAAAAAGATTAAGATATCTTTTTTAGAGTTTTATAGTTTTCGTCCTCATCTCAAGATTTTCTGTATCACCATCTAGATTGTATATGACGGCACAAACCAACAGTACATCACAACTTTCAAATAATAACAAAGGAAATAAAAAGTTTCCAATGATTATGGGAACCCAGAAAGGATTTGTGAAACATTCAATGGTTTTAGATTTCAAATAGAAGGTCATACCATTTAGAGTTGTGGCGGCAGAAGACCTTGCAGAACTTATTAGTGTTGCTGTGGAAGATGTAGTCAGCATTGCTGCGGCAGACGTAACCGGCATTCCTGTGGCAGACGTAGCCGGCATTGCTGTGGCAGACGTAGCCGGCATTCCTGTGGCAGATGTAGCCGGCATTCCTGTGGCAGACGTAGCCAGCATTCCTGTGGCAGACGTAGTCGGTATTGCTGCGGCAGATGCAGTTGGCATTCCTGTGGCAGACGTAGCCGGCATTCCTGTGGCAGATGTAGTCGGCCTTGCTGTGGCAGACGTAGTCGGTATTGCTGTGGCAGATACAGTCGGCATTCCTGTGGCAGACGTAGCCGGCATTCCTGTGGCGGACGTAGCCGGCCTTGCTGTGGCAGATGTAGCCGGCATTCCTGTGGCAGACGTAGCCGGCATTCCTGTGGCAGACGTAGCCGGCATTCCTGTGGCGGACGTAGCCGGCATTCCTGTGGCAGATGCAGTCGGCATTGCTGTGGCAGATGTTGGTAGCGATGTTTGTGGAGAAACTGAGTAGAATAAAAGCTAGTGAATTATTACTAGAACCTATCCCTTGGAAAATGAACTGACACTACGTAGATCTTATCAATTACATGCGGGAAACGTCTGTAGTTTATTGTAGATATTATATTATCCTCACTAGAGCAACACAATTAAGAAAGAATCCACAGATCAATATTACTATCTACAATACAATACTACCTATGACAATGCTTAAGATGTACAGCTTCGCTTACAAACTGAGCTGAAATGACACCTAAAAATAGAGGCCAACTTGGACTAGGGTTGCCACCTCTTCTGCTTTTAGCAGAAAAATTTTGCTTTTTGAAGGTTTTTCTGCTTCTTCAATTTTTTTAATGCTTTTATTCAGATATTCTGTCTTTTATATTTTTAACTGAGACTTTTGATCCTAATGGATAATTATTTAAAAAATATTTGAAAAATTCTTGTCATTATTCACTGATATTGTTTTTGTCACCGCAAGGGAGAAACAACAGAGACTTCAGCCGCGAAGTCTCATGAAGTCTTGAAAGGCCTTCGGAAGTCTTTTGAAGTCTCTTGAAGTCTTATGAATTCTCATGAATTCTCATAAGGTCTCTTGAAGTCTTTTGAAGTCTCTTGAAGTCTAATGAAGTCTTATGAATTCTTCTGGAAGTTTTGAAATACACTTAGTGCATGAAAATTCCTAGGAAATCAATGAAATTTTCTTGTTTTCGATGGTCTTATTCAAGCAGAAAGGCGAACCTTTTATTGTTTTTTTTTCAATGTGCTGGAAAAAATTCAAGTTTATTGGATCTTAGAAAACATGATAGTTAATAACTGAATGCTTTTTGAATGAAGTGGCTTATTTTCATAAGAAATGTTCCATCCATTCAATGTCAATCTTATGAAGAATGTTATACCTTTTTGTTTGTTTCTATCACTCATGAAATCTATCAGACGATAAATGGCTAGCTTTGTCGGTCAATAACCAACAAGCTGTTCGCTTGTGTATAAATTTAGTCTTGTTATTTATTTGCACCAGAAAATAGGAGTTTTTCAATGCTGGATTAATCGAATCAAATATAAGCGTCCCAGTAAAGTTTATTTTCTCAGTTTTAATTTTATCAACGCTTTGTGTCATTGTCACATCTTTATCCTAGATATAGATATACTGCGCGAAACAATTCTCAGAAACAAGAAATACTTTTCTAATCACTATATGATAAGTTTTGTTTTTTGCATGTTATAGAAGTTTCATGTAATTACTATAAGGTTTTTTGATACGCATGGAATCTGCCTCTTGAAGTCTTGTGAAATCTTGTGAAATCTTGTGGAGTCTTGTGAAGTCCTATGAAGTCTTGTGAAATCTTGTGGAGTCTTGTGAAGTCCTATGAAGTTTTGTGAAGTCTGGCGAAGTCTTGTGAAGTTTTATGAAGTCTTGTGAAGTCTTATGAAGTCTGATGAAGTCTTATAAAGTCTCAAGAAGTCCTACAAAGTCTGTGAAGTCTCACAAAATCTATGAAGTGTCACGAATTCCATGAAGTCTCACGAAGTCTGTGAAGTCTCATGAAATCTTTGGAAGTCATTTGAAGTTCTCTAAAGTCTCATGAAATCCTATGAAGTCTTGTGGAGCCATTTGAAGTGCTTTGAAGTCTCCAGAAGTCTTTTGAAGTCTTTTGAAGTCCGCTGTTTCCCTCTTGTGTCACCGTTATACATTATGAAATAATACGAAGATGATCTCTGCTTTTCACTGGCTAAGAAAACCTCCAATCTATATTTTTCGTTCTGGCTATTCGTTCTTTATCGGTGAATTACTTTCTGTCGTATTTTCTACTAGTTATCGGAGTCATACAAATCAATATATGTAGTCATTTGTGTGTTGTTTGGCGAGGATAAACAAGTCAATAAGTAATAGCACCTATACGGAAGAAGAAAAATGACTGATGATACTAACGACAAACAGATTGATGATGATAAAGTTACTGAGATATTAGTAACAGCTGAATCGCAAGTATCATCAACAGGAGATAAATCAAAAAAAAGGAGTCGAAAAAAGGAGTATTCAATAGAGAATGGTTAAAAGTGCCCGAATATGAACCATTTTTGAAAGAGTATAAACCTAATTCATCACAAGCAACATATATTGCTTGTAATCAACAATTTTCTGTACATTATCGAAAAAAATTTGATATTGATAACCATATGAAAACCCGAAAACACCAAAATAAAATAAAATCATTCACTATTAATCGACAATTAATAACAAAAACAATGAAACCATTAAAAGAAAAAGATGAAGTGTGTGCTTTTGAAACAGTTTTCATTTATCATGGTGTTAAACACGGTCATTCATATTTATCCCAGCAATGCACGACGAATATCTGTAAAGCAACACTCTTCTCTTCACTAGTACCAAACAATTTATCATGTGGTCGAACCAAGTCAACATTTATAGCATAAAATGTTTTATGACCATGTTCTACATATAATTTAATTGATGATTTAAAAAATTCATTTTTTTTATTCGTTGATGTTTGATGCTAGTAATAAAGGAAATACGAAGATGTGTCCATTTTTTATTCAATATTTATCCACAACCCGTGTTAAAAAAGGTATTTTTCTTTTGCTAGTTTAACTTATTCTTCATTGAGACCATTTTTTGTTGTTTTAGGAATTGTGGTTTTGATGAATGATGCTGAAGGGACAGCACTTAAAATTTTTGCTAATGCATGTCAATTAATTGTCGATAATGAGTTAGATATTAATGAATTAGCAACCATAGGAGCTGATGATACTAATGTGAACGTTGGTGAAAATCATTTAGTATTTTCTTTATTTAAAGATGAATTACCTGATATCTTCAAAGGTAAAATAAATTCAATCATTTAAAGAAAAAAATTGATCTTTGTTTAATTATATTCTTGATTTTCCGAAAGTATACAAGGTTCATTATCACCATACTCATATAATAGGAGAAGCACATTCAAATCTTGCTCTGAAGAAACAATTCTTTCTATTATATAGACGTCACATTTTTTCTCAAAAACGATAGATGTCTAGATCTTTTTTTAAATCGTGATAATCATGTTCATCTTTATGCTTCTGGAAAATTGCTATTTATTTAAAAGCATCTTTTATTAAATTTCTAAGTACAATTATCAATTATATCAATTCATATTTCAATCAAAACATTACACTCCACCGATCGATCAGTTATTTCGGACAGAAAAATATCCAAGATTTGACGTGGGATCAGGTCGTTCAATGTGTTGAAATAACAAATATAAAAGGTTTAGATGAAGATTGTTTATTCAATTAATTTACAAATTTTAAATCAACAATTAAAACACTTTTAGAACAATCTGTGTTATTATTTGACCAAGTTAAAGCAATTATAGATACACAAAATACTACAACAACAAATAATTGTAATGATGATGAGGAAGATGATGATAATGAACATTCAACAACATATAAAATTGTTAGAATCGACCAGCTATGAATGTTTTTATTTTCACTCAATGAATTACCAAATTTAAAAAAACTCGTATGTTTTTTGTATTCATTACCATACAGTAATGCTTATATTGAATCAGTATTTTCACAAATGAAACATTTATTTAACGATACAAGAAATCGAATGACAACAGAATTAGTATCAGCTGAATTAAAAATACGTTTGAATTCAACTTTATCGTGTACTGATATGTATAAACATGTGTTATCCAATCCAGATTTACTGAAAGCCATCAAATCAAATGAAAGGTATACTTTCAAAAAAGTATTCAATAAAGAGTAGAATTTACTGTAAAATTTCCTGATTACTACATTGAAACAATGTTTAACAGATAGTTTGTTACTAAAAAAAGCTTTCTGCTTCTTTTTCTGCTTTTTGATAGTAAAATTTCTGTCATTTTCTGTTTTTTCTAGGTCAATTTCTGCTTTTCGAGGATCAAGAGGTGGCAACCCTGACTTGGATTATATTTTGAGAAATACGATTGATAATGAGTGTTGAAGTATACGGCGAAAAAATTGGGCTCCCTCTCGCATCCTAGACAAACTGTGATTGAGAGAAAGACTGACACAAGAGGTAAGGCTCTCCAGCATCACGGACCATGACAAATAAACAGACAGACAGAATGGATAAGGTTTTCTACGGTCACAGATCCTGAGAGTTGTTTGAGTATGTTAGTTTGCCGTTAAAACCTAGAGGATAATATGATCGATGTGAATAGGACTCTCCTTTGGGAGTAGAACGAATCCATTGTATTTCACATTTAAATTCCCGTAGGGGTTATGCTGAAAGCTTTTGTATAAGCTCCCAGGTCAAGCATTACGACGACCAGATACGACTGTCCACGGCCGTACTTCTATGCACCGTATTACGGCCGTAAATCGCCGTGCGTATACGGCGACTTACAGTCGTATACAGCGCATTATCCCATACTGTCATGGAACAATCAGAATTCAGAAGAACTTTTCTTGCTTATTATTAGGATAACACTTAGTCATGTTCGGGCGGATCCTATGGTTATCGTGGTCGCTCTATCGAATGAGGGGTATATATGTGGATTTCCTCCTTATCTATAGCTGAGAACTAGAATCTTGCAATGTGATTGGTCAATTAAAATGTATCAATCAGATTTGAGGGTCGCTTTTCGTTTTTGTTATGAAGGCAGTTATTAATCATGTTTGACGGTGACTTTTCGTTCTTATTATCAAGACAGCTATTAATCATGTTTGGATCGATCCTAGGGCACCGAGGGTTGTCTTCGAAATTATCCATATATGAGTAGCTCTGGCTTTCGTATTGTTGAGAAATTTGGTCCACTGGTGTTAGTCGGGAATTGGGATAGATCGAGAATCCTTTGGAGCAACTTTAGTTTGTCGACAACCATAAAGAATTGCTATTTGTACTGACCAGTTGCGATCGCTGTAATATCAAAAAGACTGTAAAAATCTGATTGTAATCGGATTTTTAATGCATGTTATTTCTACCTGCGTTATGACTGGAATGAACTCTAACCCGTTGCGCATTCATATATATAAGGTGTACAATGTATCAGAAAGATTGAAAAAATTCGATTTTTCCATCGAATTATTGATACTCAAAAATGGATTTTTAATCTAAAAATAGTCAATTCTACTCTGATTTTTAACGATTTTTTACATGGGTGAACTACAGGAATATGTAGCTCTATGATTGCTATGTTGTGGTAATATTTCTGAAGTTTGTACGTTTTACAGAGTCGCACGGTGTATCAACCGAAATCGCAAAGATAAGACCGTTCTAAAAATCTTGAATTTTATAGAAATATTGCTCTGTGCAGAAGTCAGAACTTGTCACTCTTTCTCAACTTTGTGGAGATGCAACTCTTGTTACCTAGCGACCTGTTTAGCTGATCTTGAGAGGATGTTATTTATATTAAATAAGAGGAATTCGCCAAAATTAGCGATCTTTTGCGACGCAATACAATAAGAAATAATGCTTCTGTATCAAACCAGTTACAGTGGACACAGGCGGTACCTTGCCATGTTTTCCAATGAACGTATACAGTTACCGTATTGTTACGCTAGTGGTTTACGGTGATCTTTTACGAGCATTGTTTACAGTGGTCGTAATATGCCGTAAAGCATCGTTTACCATTGCTGTAAACGGCTACCGTAAATAGCCGCCGTTATCTGCCGTGATTGGTTAGTGTACGACCGACCATGATTGATCTGGGTTTCATGATTTTTCGAGTAAACTTTCGTAAGCTGTTATCATTTACAAGTTTGAAACTTTTTTGAAAAAATTTGATGAAATGTGCTGATAGCGCATGGAAAAACTATCGACTATCGTTACTACAAGCTCAAATATTAAAGAGAACGAAATAAAATAAACTTTGTCCGCGCGAATCAATGCACATTCAAAACCCTGGCGAAACATGAAGTGCGAAGTATTGAAAATATATAAAATCTTCTTTTGCAATCAAAATAATAAGAATAATACATCAATGAATCGAAAAAAACTAACTGTCCATAAAATAACATCCTGTGTTTGGAAAACAAAGAAATTTCTTTCTCATAGTTTATTCAAGAGTAATTAAGGGTGATTGAATATCAGGTTTTTGAAGACGAGTATATTGGATAAATCATACCCCACGCATGAGGCTCCATTCGAAGTCATTTGGTTTAAAAAAATCTTTGATAAAAAAATGAAATGCTATTTCGAACGCTTTGGTTCAAGCCACCCCTAGGCAACTCCAACCCACTCTAAGCTACTAGCACCCATTCTTACTCAAATCTTAAGAAGAAAACTAATTTTCGACAAGAAAGATATGGATGTGGGGTATGAGTATGGAGTGTGGGCGTGAGGTATGGATCTGGGTCTAGGTGTCAGTCTGGGGTGGATTTTGGTGTGAATATGGGTGAGGAGATAAGTGAAAAGAAGGCTTACATCCGTACCCACGACCGACGCCAGCACCCACATCCACCAACACCCACACGCACCCCTGTAAAGTAAATGGCATGGAGTGGGGTCTCATGAATGTGGACTTCGAACTTCTATCGATTGATATTAACTTCGAGTTGAACGATGGTTGAAGTGGGTTAGAGTAGGCTGGAGCATATTTGACTAGTACCCCTTGTTGCCGGCCGAAACAAAAATAGACTAATGCATCTTAAAGCCCTTGACGAGTTCTGTAAAGATGAACTTATGACAGTGCAAAATTCGGGTATAGTTCAATACCTAACAGATCAGGAATGGTACAGATTAGGGTTCCTTTTTACAAAAACACGGCTGAGTTCATAGGACCACTAAAAACTTCCTTAAAAATGTCTCTGGTTACTTATGCAGTCTAGCTTCGAATTCTGAACAGAATTGTTTAAATTTTTTTGGTTCCAATAACAGAATTGCATTGAACATGAATTTTTCTAAAAATGAAAACAATTTGATTTTTCACATATTGTGAATCCTGTATATTTTAAATAGTGGGGTGGTATATACCAAGTGTCTTCAGGCATTTAGTACAGAAGACACGAGCACACCTAGTCATATGATTAAGCACTTAAAAGGATGAGACATATAAAAAATTTGTATGAACGCAATGTATACTGATCAATGCCTGAAGCAAGGCATGTGAGGTCTAAATCAATTCTTGTGTGTCACAAGAAAACCTCAATATAAAAAAATAAATGAAATAATAAATACTGTGCAGATAAATATGGACTTTCAAACTATAAAGGCCAAAAGTTTTCGGAGTAAGGGTCGATTTAGGACCTTATCCGGCGGAGTTCTTTGAACAATAGTGTGAATACTTGAATAAATAAAATATAGACAACTGACCTTCATTTATATTCATGTTCACGAATACTATCAGAAGAATCGCAATTCGAAGAGCCATTTTGATCAAACGATCGATCGTAATAAACAACCTAAAAAAATAAAAAATATAATAAACGTCATATTCAAATGCGGATCGAATAACATATTTTTTCTTATTCTACAGTATCACAAATGAAACCAAGCGTTACTATTAGTATACAGGTAATTGACGATGGCTATCGTCTCTCTCTCACGATACATGTTTTCCTTGCTTTGGAGAGAAATATTGGCAAATACTGATGTTATGATTTGTTCGTCCTTCGCTTACAGGTATACTGCTGCTGTGGTGCTCAATACTCAGATATTCACGATGAAAAGAAAAGGGAGAAAAATCGAAAATAATAAATCAGATAAGTAATGATGAATTACCCCAGATATGCATATAAATGATATATACATACTTAATTAAATTTCAGGTGATATTTACCTATAAATAGAAAAAAGTAATTGAAACGATCACTCTCATTAATATATGAGAAGTTTTAAATGTTTACTTTTATCTAATGGAACGAAAGATGATAAGTGTAAATTTAGAAATTCAAAATATCAGTCTCCTCCAATGTGTCTCTCAATAATTATAAAGAAAACCATCCCAGGTTTAAAATCTACGATCGTATACGACCGTATACAAAAAAAATACGACGAATAACGATGATCATATACGATGGTTGTACACGACCATCGTATACGATGTTATACGATTATATACGATTGCCGTAAACGACCACTGAATACGATCATCGTAAACGACACTCGTATACGATCGTATTGTGGTCGTGTATTTTTCTCGTACATAGTAAGATAGCTTCGTAGTGTTATATATGTGTCACTTTTTATTACAAATTATTTATTTGGTTTATATTTTCCATTTTGCATGATCTATATGCAATATACTTTCTAATTATTAACAATGAACTGACTAGACTTTTGTTATATTTATTGTCCTGGAAAAGTGTGGACAATCTCTTTTTTATTTTTGTTCGGGATCCTTTGCTGAAAAAAAGCTGTCTTGCATGTTTTATAGATGATGAGAAGTAAATCTATTGTTAATATCAATCAAAAATAATGTAGAGATGTTTGACCAAAAAGATAGCTTTTTCAATCTATCCCTAGAGGTATTTTAAATAAGTTTCACC